AAGAAAACTGGTTTTGTTACCCTGGACGGACTTTAGCGAATGTCAGTAGTTCTCGCGAGCCTCTGGCTCGAATATCGTCATTTTCTTCTTCACACGTTGGCTGCTTGGTAGAAACTCATGCACATGCAGGGCTGGCTCGTGCATTGCGGCTAGCTTAAGCTGTCATAGCAGAACCGCCAGCATTCCTCTTCATTAACGACATCTGCGTTGTACTGTACGTTAACAATTCCTTGTGGCATTATCCCCCCCTCTCAAGCTGTATCACCCAGATGCAAGCAATGAGGCTGTCTAATACCTTTTGTCTATGGGTTTGAAGAAATAAGCTGTTGGTGCATCAAGGGATTGAGGTGGCTATGTTTCGTACCGGTCGTAGCAGGGCTTCATACATACAATGTGTTTACGCTTCGTGGAATCGCGTCATTTCGAATGCACGTGTCCTGCAGGCTTGACTTCATAAACAAGGTCACCGAGTCGCTGTACTATCTCATAGGGGCCAAAATATTGGCAAAAGAGTTTTCCGGAAAAGCCTCGTCGTGGTACTGGGGTCCATACCTACACTTTGTTGCCAACGTCATACCGTGTTTTATGTCTTCCTCGCTTGTAGTGGTTGGCATCAGTCCGGTATTGGTGACGTTTTCAGTACCTTGCTAACTGGTGGGCCTCTTGCACTCTTTGTAGAAAGTCGTCATGATCAGGGGCATAGTTATCTTGCTCTATCGATAACATAGCGTCCAGTGTTGCGGTAACAGCACGACCTAGTTCAAATGTGGGTGACCTTGGTGGTCTCTTGTACGCAATATTGTCAGGAAAGGTGACATTTGGTAAAATTTTGTCCCACTTTTTGTGCTCGACATCCACATACATGTCAGCTAGAGTTCTGTTAAGACGTTCAGTCAGGCCACTGCTTTGAGGATAGATGATATGCGGTGGTTTTTCTGTGAACAGTGTGAGTCGTGTTCAGCAGGCACTTCATAAGTTTCGCCGTGAAAGCCGTTCCGCAATCGGTGATTACAATAGTTGGAGCGCCATGTCAGAGCTATGCTGTGTACAAATTATTTGGCCACTTCAGCAGCCGTTCCCCGTTTTAAGGAGTCTGTTTCAGCATATCTCGTTTAAGTAATCAGTCGCCACAACCATCGATTTTTTGCCGCGTGAAGATGTCGGGAAAGGTCTAAGGAGGTCCATTCCAATTTGTTAGAAAGGTGTTTTTGGTGGATCTAAAGGTTGTAGAAGTCCCACTAGTTCAGCACTTGGTGTTTTCCGTCTTTGGCACTCGCGGCATGTTTTAACGTAGTGTTGCACTGAGGCTAATAGCTTGGGCCAATTATAATGAAAACTAATTCATGCAAGTGTTTGAGTCACACCCAAATGTCCAGATGTGGGCTCATCGTGGCACACTTGTAGTATTTCTTGCCGCATTGTTGCAGGAACGACAAGCAGGAACTTTTCACGGTTGGGCTTTGGGCTTAAAGGGATGGTGCCACCAAATTTCGAGGCTAAAACAAGCCTCTTTTCCTTTGTATGTTTGGACACTCGACACGAATGGTCGGATACAGCAAATGTTTATAATATATTTAAATTCACCCCCATAATGTACCTAAATGCTCATTCTCCTGACCGAAGCCCATCGCGAGCGTGCCCAGAACTGTCATAGCTATCTAGGAAGGCCAACAAAAGTTGCAGTGACGTCACACCAAATCTGTAGTGAGCGTAGGTGGGAGCAGGTTTCCCCTTTGGGGGGGGGGGGGGGCAAAGGTTTGTCGCAGTGCACCCCCTCCCTATTATGTCAATGTATAAAGCTGACTGACCCCCCTCCACCCCAAGTTGCAGCGCTTCGTCCTAATTATGTCAACGCAGGGGGCTGTGTTTATACCCCCCCTTGTAGTTGACTACAGGAGTCCTGCCCCCTCACCCCCCTTTTGTGGTACACCTGTTGTATTGAGGTGAGGGATCTTTGGAGACCTCAGCTACGTACGTACTGTCAAAGCATCATGGCTGCTGTATGTTTGTTTGGCAGGTGCTTGTGTAGCACGTCTGTGCGAGAGCGGACGATTATCAACATGAGGTGCATCACATTGTGTGGTCTCATGACCGAGCCACCTACACTGCCATGTCACAGTCCATTTTGGTGCCCAGAAACCGAAAATTGGCCACATAAAAAAGGCAATAATAATTTATTCAGCGAGAATAAATCTTGGTGCATGTATCATGCTTCCTGGAGCTATGAGAAACGCTTGCAGCAAAGAACCCACAAGCTACAATTACGGTGGCACTACCCCTTTAAAGTTTTTCTCGTGGAGAACATTTCGGAGGCAGACCGATGCGAGGCTTCAAGAAAATATACGGGGTACTTGTATGCCAACTCTTTCCTGGTGTTTGATGAGCTAGAGCAATTATTTGTTTGCATGTTGAAACTTTGCTATTTGAGCAGTCTCGCCAATACCTACGAATGGAAAGTCCTCTTATTCTGGTAGTGGTGTGTCTCTGTAGTAGCCCGTGACAGTCGGCATTGGTATGCTTTCTCCCAGATCGGTTTATCTTGCTAGTTGTCCTGACGGGTCCTTGATGTTCGCCAGCCAGCAAAGAGCACGATGATCGCTGACTGCCTCGAATGGTCTACCATATAGGTACGGCCGAAGTTTACTGATGGCCCAGATGATGGCAAGGCATTCTTTTTCTGTGGCCGAATAGATTGCCTCCGCTTTTGTTAGTCCAGCTGGCATAAGCTGTCACCTTGTCTTCGTAATTCTGTCACTGTATTACGACGTATCCAAGGCCGATGTTACTGGCATCTGTGTGTATTTCTGTGTCAGCTGTCTCATCAAAATGAGAAAGCATTGGGGGCTTTTCTAACCTTTTTCTTAATTTGTTGAAGGCTCTCTGTTGCTCATTTTGCCAGTGGAAACGCACATCTTTTTTCTTTAGTTTCGTTTAGGATTCTGCAATATTCGAAAAATTCCTGACAAGTCGTCTGTAGTGAGCACATAGACATAGAAATTTCCGTATCGACTTTTTGACTGTTGGCACCGGAAACCTTGCAACGGCGGCCATCACATTGGAATCAGGGCCAACACCTTGGGTGTGGACTACATGTCTAAGAAAGCGAAGTTTCTAACACTGACCGCAGGCGCTTGATGTGCTCCTTAAATGTAGCGGCGAAGATGACCACGTCGTCTAGGTACACTAAGCAATACTGCCACTTAGATCCGGAAAGCACACAGTTTCCATCATGCATTGGGACGTTGCCGGCGCACAACAGAGACCAAACGGGAGAGCCTCAACTTCTGTGCTTCTTTAGCTTTGGGCACAAGTACGCCCTTAATAAACAGTGTAAATAGTTCATCCTCGGTGTGAGGTTGTTACACTTGTTACAATATACAGTAACTCTATGCATGCTGCGATTGCAGTACTTCCTAGTGCTCCGCGTGCAAATGATGAGATCACTTGGCTGTGTGTGTTGCCTGGACAGGATAGCGACGATAGTAGTGGCTGTGCAATGATGTGTATTTTGCTAGTGGCAGCACAGTCGATTAGCACTCTGTCTGTTTGTCGTTGTTATGAACCAATAAGAGGAAAGCGTATGGTCTGTACGAGGAAGGTTAGGGCGCTCAGCGATCAAATTGTGGCATGAGTGTGCAAGCAGGCATGTCACGTGGTACGTGGTATTTTTTTGTATTTCTTGGGCATCTGCAGTTAGCAGAAAACACGATTCTTTTTAACAGATAAAATGCTGAAAAACTGTCTAATCGAACATTTTTCAAACCTATCTATAACTTTCTCATTGGAACTTTTACCCAGCTTCATTGCATCAAAAGTTTGTTATTTAAACATCCTTGATTAGACAGTGAAACGGCAAATAAAAAACAGTGTAGATTCTTCATGTAGTAGTCAGCAGCATGCATTTGGTTGCATTGTCATCAATTTCATCGGCATATTGTTATCCTCTGGCTAGACATAGCTGGGACACCTTGTATATGTGCTGTTTCCAAGGGGTCATTATTTTCTGCTCTGAAAGTGGTTAAGATTTGTTTTACTGTTTGAACGCAAACAAAAGTATCTTTTGCGTGTAAATTCGCTTGTTGGCATTTATTTTAGCTGCTTCATGATAAAGTTACGGCAAGCTTGTGCTATTGGAGCATATTTGAGACATCCTAAGTACCTACTAGGACTTTCTTGATATGTATGGCAGGAAGTATGCACATCTATCTGTGCAGAAGAATACATTAAAGCCTTTCTTTAATTTCTTGGTTATTCCTGTGAAAGAGTATTTATACTGCTGAGCAGCATCACATGCTTCATGAATTTTTCAGAACATTATAGAAGTAAAAAACAACATATTTTGATATGTCTTGTTTTGCAGTTGGCTGATACTTTCGTATCGCCACTCTTTTTGCCCCACTGGTGAAATATTGTCTCATTTAATGGCCAGATTCTTGGTGACAAGCCATCGTTATCTTGAGCAAGAATGCGTAGCTCAAAGTTTTTTTTGGTGTCAAGTATCAATCCCTGAACACTGTACAAGAAAATGAGCCTGCTCAGTAGCCTAAACTCACTTTCTCAAGAAACAACTGATAGGTTCAAGAAACACTTAGTGCATTCTTCTTCTCAGATTGATTGGAGTGCATACTACCTATTGGGCTTACTCAGAAGGTTTTCAAGTCTGCTAGCTAAATCAAAGGCTCCTGTAGCATTGAATCAACTTTGCAGAATCTTGAAAAGAAAGCTATTTCACAAGCTGATGTATGCATAAACATTGATTGCCCTGCATCGAAAGCCTGTGCGCAATTTTCAAACACTTTCCATAATGACACTTCAGCACGCCTTTCTGTGTGCTGGAGCTTCATTATGGATCTTTACTCACACCCCCAACTGCATACCCTTGCAAACACTGTTCTGAATGTAATTTTTCACTTCAGTGTTCACTGTAACTGTTGCATATTGTATTCATGCCAGCTTAGTTCCAGTTGGTGTAATGCCATACATTGTCTTCTGGCATGCAGCTTCCAAAGATGCACCACTGGCAAGCTTCTGGCAAAGCAGCCTACCATGTGGGGGACTGCAGTTTCCATTACTTCACTGCACGTCGCAATAGGGTTGAGCTCATCTGTGACTTCCCGAGTGAGAATGATGCAGAGATAATCTCCTCCCTCCAGGTTCATCCACATGGGTGGTGTGTCTTATCTCGCAACACGAGCAGGAATGAGAAATCAGAGGTAGGTGCCTCAAAGAAACATGCTTTAGTGCTGTAGAGATGCGTAGAAAAGCAAAGAACATGTACGCCGACTTAGGTGCTATCATTAAAATATAGAATGTTGTAGCAGAACACACTGATTTGAGACACATAGAATGCAGTGATTGTTATGAAAAGGTCACTACAGTCAGTTCCCCTTTGGGCAACAAGTTATCGAAAAAGCTTATCCTTAAATCGCACAGCATAGAAAAACTATGTATCAAATTTGCAGGTCAAACATTACTTCATATGATCTGCTTTCTTTCAGTTTCAGCTCGCCTGTTGTGTATAGAATGGAGAGAGTAAATTTTTTTGGCCTTGTTAGTTAAGGCTTCTTAAGGTGAAATTAAATGTCATCTTCCTGAATTAAGCTGAATGCCAAAAAGGTTCTCAATGCATGTTTTTGAGAATCGGTGTTTGAAATGGCAGGAAAAAAATCTACAAAGAATCTACTTTGGTAGTTGTCTTAGTGATATGTAATCAGCAGAGCATTACTGTATAGGTTTGTGTGGATAGTAAATTCTAGGTTCGAACCAAAGTTGAAGTGAATAGTGACTTGGTTCGAATACTTTCAAATCGAATTTTAATGGTAAATATCACATACTGTGAAGAAAAAGGAGCATATTTGTCATGACCAAACTAACCGGCTTGACATCTTTTAAAAAGTTAAAACAAGGCATGCACAAATGTCATCCTTTTTAGTTCAAAGGAAGTGGAAGCAACTTTGAATAATGGCAGGATTCGACTTTCGGTAGAACGCAAGTGATAGTCCTTAAAATGTGTTGTTTTAAAATTTATTGTACTAAGAGTGTATAAGCCAGCATAACAAGCTTTTAAACTTAAAGAAGGAAGCATCAATGTGAGGGTAATAGTATGTTCATTTTACTTGAAGTAAGACTGCGGCAGTGCAGATTTTTTCTGGACATATGTATTCACGATATAGCACACCTTCACTGCAGTGAAACCACTTTTGCAGGTGTTTACATGCGGTTTAGTATACACCAATTAATTCATTTCGAATACTTCAAAATTGATAATAATTTACCTCAAATTGTAGTGAATGTGTTAGTATTCTTTCGAATATTCAAAGTGTGCAAACATTCATGCTAGCCTATTGCTGTAGGCTGTGGTCTTCGCTAGAACATTGTTTTCAGGGGACATTGACATGGTGTTTTTCATCTTTTTTTCTAGCATTCATCAATGTGTGGAACAGCACCACAAAAGGTGCATCCCATGAACAGGGAGATGCGAGTTTGTCATTGTATTGTTAGTCTAAATTTTCCTGATGTGTGCAGCACTCCATGTCAGCCCTACATCTTGTCCTTCTGCTATGAAATTCAGCAAAGCCTTCGTAAAAGATGTTTTTCTCTCACGTTTGTTTTGCACCGTGTGGTCGAAATTTCCAGAGCTCTCTACTAAGGCGTCTCTCATAATCATATGGTTGTTTTGGGACGTTAAACACCACACATCAATCATCGTTTTGCACCGTGGGCACAACACATTCAATTCTATTAACTTTGGTCAAGTGGCACTCTCCTTTGGAACTTTAGCTTTAGAGCCTGGGTGTGAAAGCTAGATCTGGCAGGAATATTTCTTTTGATTTATAGACGATTTTCCACAGCTGGTTTGCTCATTCAAATCTAAATGGTTCCACAACACGATGGACGTCTCCTAACCATGACAGTCTTTCTGCCGTGGCCTTCTTCAGCACTGCTTAACAACTGCTTCACGTCTGTTCGGCGCCCCCATAGCGTCTGCGCGCATACGAGTAAAAGCGAAGCAGACGCTATGGGGACGCCGAGCAAACGACGCGACGTGGATGTTCAGCCGTGTTGCAGAAAGCCACGGCAGAAAGACGGCCACGGTAGGTAAAATCAACATAGCGGCACCTATGGGTGCAGTTTCGTTCTGCTTCGAGCTTATCATGTCGTCATCCTGTGCTGTGGGGCCCGTAAGTTCACGGTGTACTCGGTTATTTGCTCTATATTTATGTGCTGAAGCTACGAGATAATGTATTCGTCGGTATTTTGCAGTGTTTTCTAGATTTATTCTCAAATTCTTGGAGACAAGGCTTAGCAGGCGTGCTTAAATAAACACAGCTGATCTAATAAAGACAGTACATACCTGATGTCTTGTCCCCTGTGTGAGGTGACACGAAGCGGTAGCTGATTTCACCACTTATTTATTGCTGTGACGACGATGGGCGAGTAGCAAGCGTGAGTTTGGATCGAAGTGGGCGGTCGCGTCTGCATGGGTGCTGCCATGTTGGCTTTTAAACTCACCTACCGACGCATACCGCCACGGCCGCTTCGATGCCCAGTGCGTTCGCTTGTGCAACTGACGAGAAGGCCAGTTTACAGTCACGTGATCAAAAATGGCAGCGTGCGAGTGCCGCTGTGGATAATCGTCAGTAAAGGCATGGATGTACAGATAGATAGATAATAGTTCTACAGATGCACATTTTTCTTGTTCAGATGACAGAAATGCTTACGCAATTAAAACTTGTGGGGTCAAGGTTCACCCATGGCCTTTGCATGGACATTCACCTTTTGTGCTGCCTTCTTACTTGTCCTCTTTTAGCTACGTCATGTGGTAAGCAGTCAGGGCTATAGTGTACACGTATCCTGAAGGAGTAGGGCCACTAGCATGGGTCTGGTCTTAGCGAGCCGCAGGGCACGCGTTAACCGTCGCCATGGTGAGAACACAGTACTGCTCAAGATCGGAACACTTGTCTGCGGCAACACCAAAACGTAGTACCGAGCTTGTTGCAAAGGCGATGCGGGTAAGCAAATGAACTTATCTGGGCCACGGGCGAGAAGTACTATGCAGGGGTGCCGCGAGCACGTCTCCGTGGGCAAAAGTGATTCACGGTGACACCGGGACAAAGGGCTCGATTGCTTGAGGGAGGGCAAAGGCGCTCACGTTGGCTTCCGAGAGATACGGGTCGGTGCAGTTTGACCACCCACTAGGAAACCGCACAGCTCTTCGGCCTAGCATTCGGAAGGGGGGCGACAAAGGGTAAGCGTTCGCCGCGGGAGCAAGGCGCAGTTGGGGAAGTGCGAACGAGGCCCAAACAAAGGGAGCCGACAAACGGAAAAGAAATGCGTACTTACCCCTTGTCGTCTCGGAGAGGTTCTCTCTCACTCCCAGCGTGCACGCGGGAAACGTCTAGAGAGACTTCGCGCATGGCGCCACAGTGGACATGCGCTACCGGGTGAGAGGGGTTAAACGTCACTCTTCACACTCCTAGCGTGGCTGACCGCGGAGGAGGGGAGTCATGTCGGGACGTGAAAACGCAGAAAGAGGCGGCACAGTCCGCGCAAAGGCGGCAGGATAGCCTCGATTCCCACAGGGCAAGACACTGTTTTCGGTGTGGTTCGCGACGAGAGCACTGTGAGCTGTCTAAGAGGCAGTGGAATTTGGTGTGATCAGGCGTGCATGCATGCCAAATGTACCGTATTTGCTCGCATAGTCCTCGCACTTTTTTCGTGGAAAACCGATGAAAAATTGGGGGATGCGAGAATCATGTGGGGAAAGATCTCCGCCAAAATGTACTGAGCCAAGAAGAAAACGAAGCGGCCACAAGTCGAGATTCTCACACCATCAATTAACTAGTACAAGCTTTGAGAAGTACTAATGAAGACTTATACCTTGACAATAAAACCACAGGTTTAACACAAAGCAAGATTTATTTGCAGACACAAGCCACTGTCTCAAGGATCTTCACGTGGATACCCGTGACGTAATCAAGAAGTGCCGCCTCAACATGTGAATACTATTTCCCAGTCCTAGACTCACGGAAGACTTGACGCGTCTTAGTGGCTTTCAGCTGCTCATGCTGCCGTCGCCAGTAACAAACACAAAACTCGTTGACCCCGAAGTGCCTGCTGGTGGCCACATGGCTGTTGTTTTGTGCATGATCAATCACTTTCATCACTGAAAGCAGCCATGTTCATTACGTTTAGCCCCAAAGGGAACAAAATTGTTAACATAAGAAACCCCCGTCAGGTTCACAGAAAAGCGCGCCAGGTTCACAGAAAAGGCAACTACTCTGTAACTTCCCATGAAGAAGTGAAAAATTTTGTATGAAAACGTGTTGCAGCCGAGTCTGGTCAGCAAAAATGCCAAGCTGTCTTAATTTATTCCTTTTTCCCCTTTCAAAACGTCACTTATTTTTGAACCTGTGTGGCAAAAGCTGATGTTTGTAAGAAATGACCCCGACTTTTTCGCGTGTGCCCATGCTCTCCTGTACACCATTATCTGTAGCACGTCGTACGTGCCCCTGAGCTCTGTAGATGCTTTCGGCCACAGCAACCAGCAACGTCTCAGGATAGCCAGCCTTTCCAAGACAAGCCACAGTGCAGTGGGAAAGTGCGTGCAAAGAATCTGTTTTTGCTAAAGATACCCCATTTCCCCCCAAATTCCTCAAAACTAAATTGCGTCTACGCTTTCTTTGTGAATGCCTGGTAGGCGACAGTGGTCCGACGCTGCAACAAGGGAATTCGTCGGGGCGAGTTCTGGGAAAGTGGCACCTTCGGAATAAAAAGTAACGAGTAATGTGGCACCTCACGTTACCGAAAAAAGTAACGCCTTACCGGTAACGACGTTACCTGTAACGCGTTACCGCCAACACTACGGGGCGGTAAGTGGGTGAACCTGTTGAGACCGCACGCCTCTTTCGGCTGGCCGTGCAGCAGAAGAGGCAAACATCTCACGCTTTTCCGCACGTGTCGCTATGACGTGGCAATGCTTCTCTCAAACGTACACCCGCGCCATCACCGCGCCTCCGCTGCGTGCCATTCTGATTGGCTGCGGCAAAGCGGTGAGTTTGTGCAGGCTGTAAAAAAGTGCTCCGGAAGCGATCACCCTTACAACCTGGTTTTTGTCCCGCTTTCGCCACCTAGAGAGGGTTTTTTTTCCTGTTTCTGCGTTGCCGCCTTGCAGCTTTGGCCTTCAGTGTGATACATGCCGCTTTCATCTCTT